ACCCCAACCCCAACCCCAACCCCAACCCCAACCCCAACCCCAACCCCAACCCCAACCCCAACCCCAAACCCCAACCATAACTCTAGCCCAAACCCTATACCTTAATTTATTCTTATTTTTAATTATTATTTTTCAAATATTTATTTAAATTTATTTTAATCATAGATTATCTTTTTCCTCAAAAATAAATTTAAAAAAAAATGTAATTAATTAATTTATTAAAAAATATAATATATAATATAATATAATATAATATATATAAATATATTAATTAAATATTTATTTTTAATATATATAAATTTTTATAAATTATTTAATTATTAAATATTTAAAATATAAATTATAAATTTAAAAAATTTTAATTTTTATTAATTTAAAAAAAATAAATATATGTATTTAAAGTTAAATTCACAATCAAATTCTTAAAATATTAGTATTATTAAACTATATATTTATATAATATACCCATATAAAATAAGCTTTAGAATAAATATAAAATACTAATAATAATTTTTCAAGAAATAAATTTTAAATAGAAAATATATTATTTAATAGTGATTTTGATAGTGGAAATTTACTAAAAGTAGAAAAAGGTTCTTAATAAAACCAAGTATATAATTTCATTAATAGTTAAAAATAAATAAATTTTTAAAGTTTCTTTTGTACATATGTCCAGATTAATTTTAATCTGATAAAGAAAATATGTCAAGAACATGGTTTTATTTTTCAGTATAGGGAGTTTAATAAAATTTAACAATTTATATGACAATAAAAAATAGCAATTAATAAGTAAATAAAATATTATTTAAATTTTAAATAACTTTTAGTCAAAATTGTTTAGAGAAGGTCATCAAATTGTTTTTAAATCTTCTTTTATAAATAAATGGGAAAAAACTAACTAAAACATTTATGATACTATAATACAACATGAAAATGGAATAGACTATACATTTTTTTATTAATTTTTAAGTCCTGAAGAAATAGTATTTTTCGCATTTATTTATCCATTCTCTTATAAAGATAATTAAGTAAATATATACTTATTTTTATATAATTTATAATAAATAAAAAAGAAATATCTATCTAAGCTTTAATTAAATTATTAAAATGATTCTGAAATATTTTTTAACAGAACAAATTTAGCCTATTCAAAAGAAAAGCGAAATATTGATTTGATAATAATATCTTCTTAATAATATAAAACTGAAAAATAAATAATAGGTAAAACTTAATCGATATTGTTTCCTTGTGGAAATATTCCTTTACAGTTAATATATAGACATTTTTATTAAAAATATTTTTTAAAAAAATATAAAGTTTTGAAAAAGAAAAAAATATGTTTTTATTTCTGCTAGAGTACATCCTGGTGAAACTCCCAGTTCTCATGTATGTAATGGAATTATTAATTTTTTATTAAGAAAAGAAGATTCTAATTCTAAAATTTTAAGAAAAAATTTTGTTTTTTTATTGTTCCGATTATAAATCCTGATGGAGTTAGTAGAGGAAATTATAGATAAGATTCTTAATGTCAAAATTTGAATAGGCATTATATTGAACCTTGTGAAAATAATTAACCTGAAATTTTCGCAATTAAAAATTTTATTTTAAATCTTAATTAACAATAATAATTTATTTTTTATTTAGACTTACATGCACATGCGTGCAAAAAAGGATGCTTTGTTTATGGTAATTCAATGGATTTTAGAAAATAGGTTAATTGTAATTTAATGGCTAAACTATTTGAAATAAATTCAAAGTTTTTTGAGTATGCTTAATGCAGTTTTTCTGACAAAAATATTATTTCTAAAGGCAAAAATGATAATTTATCTAAAGAAGGATCAGGAAGAGTTTCAGTATATAAAATGACTAATGTAGAACATTGTTTTACATTAGAATGTAATTATAATAAAGGAAACTTATAATAAGAAAGTTATACTGTAGAGAGTTTTCATAATATTGGAGAAGTAAAAGAAATACACATTTTTTATTCTAAATTTTCTATTTTTATTTTTTCATAAAAGGGAGTTTTATTATCTATTTTAGATTTTTATTAATTAAACTCTGATACTAAATTGGATATTTTGAATTTAAAAATGGAATTAGCCTAATAAATATTAAAATAAGCACCTTATAGGTTTTTCAATAATTTTTTCTTTACAAGTTTATTTTTTTTAAAAAATAAAGGTTTGATAATTATTACAGATAGATTTTATTATAAATTAATTCAGAAAAAAAAAAATCTGAAGGATTATTTGCTCTTCAATAAGAAATTTTTTAATAATAAAGTAAAATTAATTATAAATATAATAATTAATTTTAAATAAAAATTAAAAAAAAATATAGAAAATAAAAATATAAATAATGAAGAAGTAAAAGAAGAGCAAAAATAAAAAGAATAAGGAAAAGTAAAAGACAAACAATAAGACAAAAAGTAAGAAAAATTAGAAAAATAAAAGGAAGAAAAAAAGTAAAAATGAATTTTTTAATGCATATTTATAATAGTAATTAATAAATAAAATTCTTAATAAATTAATATTATAATATATTAAATGTAATTTATAAATAAAACATATAATAAAAATATTTTATATATGAATAATTATTGAAATTAATTAATTATTTATTAAAAAAGTAAAAAAATAAAATAATATGATGTTTAATAATTAAAAATAAGGTAAGCATAAAATTATTTGTAATAATTCTTTGTTTTTCGGTAACCCATAAGATTATTAATTAGTATTTACTGTTTGGTTTATTTATTTATCCATAAGCATTTTTTTTTTCTCAATCACAAACATATATATATGCATTTAATTTAATTTTTATTTGTCAATATTTTCTTATTTTTTATTTATACCCGGAATCTATTATTTATTAAAATGCTTTATTACAGACCCAGGAATTATAAAAAAAGGCATTATAAATGATTTTTAAAATTAATAAACAAACGAAATTGAATAAAATAAAAACCAACCTGGAAATTTATATGAATAAAGATACTGTAATACATGCCAAATTATTAGGCCATAATTAGCCTCACACTGTAATTATTGCAATAATTGTGTTAAAGGATTTGATCATCATTGTTATTTTGTAGGAAATTGTATAGGCTAAAGAAATTAAAAATATTTCGTTTTATTTTTAGTTTTTACAATTTTATGGAATTTTTATGTGCTTATTATAAGTATTTTTAATACTGTATATTCTTGTAAAGAAAATGAAAGAATTTTAAATATTTTTTATAATTAATTTAATTGGCTTGTTTATACAATGCTTATAGTATTTATTTTATTTATTATATGCTTTATTTTAAGAACATATATATTTATTAAATTAATTTTGCTTTTCATTTTGGGAGTATGTATTATAGCTTCAATAATTATAAGTACATTCTCGATTGATGACATTAAACCCTATGAAAATCCGATTCTTTGCCTATTTAATAATATAATGTATCTGCTTCCCTTAATGTTTGTATTTCCGGTTTGTTTAGAAAATTGTAGATTTGCATGTTTAGGAACTACTTTGAAGTAAATGACATTCATGAGAAGGGCTTATATAGATTAACCGGTTAATTTTAAACAAGGATTTGTTAATTTTTTTAAATTAGCATTCAGAAAAAATGTTTCTAGTGAAATAGTTGGAAAAAGCCTAGAAAATGAATCTTGAAATATGAATTGAATATTATAAAAACAAATATTTCTAATGAATTTTAAATATGTATAAGAAAAAAGGAGACAATATAAAATTAATTAATTTAAAAAATAATAATTTATAAAAATATAAAAATTGAGATTTATTTAAATTTATTTACTATCTAAAAAAGATATATTATATAAATTAGTATTTAATAAAAAACTAAAAATATTCATTTATGTATTATTTTATTTAAAAAAAACTCTTAATCAATTTTCATATTCATCACTATCATCAATTTTAACAAAAAAGCTTTTTGTAATTTTAGGATATTGAGATTTAAATCCTGCATCACAAACAGTATCGAAAATCTTTAAAATTAGTCCTTCTATTTTATAGCCAAGAATTTATTCTTTTCTTTTTTCCCAAGTCCATTCATAATTTTCCTAAAAAATATAAAACAAACAAGTATTCATAAATATTCCTTAAAATAAATAAATAATATACTTCATAAACTCCAGGACCAACAGGTAGAGAAGCTTCTTCTGCAATCCTAGCTAAAGCTTCATAAAACTCAACTTAACTCATCTAGAATATACGATCACTTTATAACTCATCTATTTAAGTCATCATAGACAAATTAAAAGCAAAATAGCACACTGTTGATCCAAAATGTTCATCTTCTGTAAGTCCTGCTAGAGAAACAATTCTAATTAATTCATCCAAGCCTATATATAATTTTTATAAGATATTTTTTTTATATAAAAATTACACATAAAAGGTGGTTAGCCAGGTTTAACTTTTTACTTAGCGAACTTTTTATAAACATAATCAATTATTTTCTTGTAATTTTTCAAACAATAGTCACATTCTTCATTCCAATAACGTTCCGTTCTCCATTTTTAAGAATTATATTTTTCCACAAAAATTTATTCTAAATTTTCTTCCCAAAAAAGTTTTATGGCTTCTATAAAAGTATTACATCTTTAATATTTTAATATATACTTTTCCTCAGAAATTCTAACTAGAGCTTCCATTAATTAATGTCTGCTTATACCTTTTTTTATATATGTATTTATAAATATATAAAATAGTTACCACGTTCAGGATTTCGAGGATTTCCTTTTTCTCCTCCAGAAATAGTTGCTGTCCATTTAAGATTTATATCAGCATCCTTTACTTTTGAATCAATTACATTCATTAAAGAAACAAGTTCGAGCCATGGGGTATTTTATATACACCATATATCTTATATAGGGTTTTAACTAGCAAAATATTTATATGTGTCTTTGATATGTTTATATTTAGACCTTAAAAATTCTTTTACTTAGTCTTAGTCTTCCTATTTTTTAATTTTTTGGGGAATTTTGCAGTTTTCCCAATCTACTTCGAAACATTTTTTATATATTTCTTCATCATCAGGTTTCCATTTATACATAAGAGAAATAGGAAAACTCCATTTAATTCTTTTCTTTTTTTTCGCGGCTAAAATATATTTGGGGTCACGTGTTCTGGGAAGTATAGAAATTACAGGGCTATAATAGCAATCTATTATTTATTCACTTTTTTTTACATTAATTTTATTTATAAATTACAAATCAACATCTATTAATGTATTATCGAATAAAAGAACATTCTATTTTTTTAAAACAATATATATATATATATATATTTACATTTATTTTATTTCCTATTTCTGGATTTGGAGTTATTCTTTCTTCTAAAGAATGGTCATAATTTTATGATTCCTCTAAAGTAAAAAAATATTATAAATAAAAAGGAGGAACCATCCTTTTATATATATATTCAGGTCCTTATTATTTTCCAAAGTAACAAGCTCTATAATTTTCGAAATTAAAATGTATAAAAATAGGATCAGGTAAACCTTCTCCTGATTTATCTATTTTTTTAATGATATAAAATATTTTTAATGATATAAACCTTATATCCATGTGATTTCTTACTCACTCCATCCTTAACAAATCCAACAACAATCTTAAATATCTTTATCTCTTTAATTTGTATGATAATTTTAATTTAATACTTTACATCCTTTAAAAAAAAAGTAAATTTTTTAAATAAATAGAAAATAAAATAAATATATGCAAATAGTTTTAAAAAACCATTAATTCTTTATTTAATATGAACTCCTGTTAAATCATAATTTTTTTCATCTTCAACAATAAGAAATCCTCTCGAATCCACGTAACCACAATTTCCAGAAAAATGAAAACCATAAATACTTTGATTTTTTTCCAAAGCCTCTGCTACTTTTACCGACTATTCTTAATTAAAATAATTGTTTGACAAATCTAGATGTTTCAATTCTATGTTTTTCCCCAAAAAAGCACAAATTTATTCCACACAACTTCCTCCTAAACCTAGCGAATTACAACTAAAATCCAAAACTTTCAACTCTTCATTTGAAAATAAAGCCGCAAAAACGAGTGCACCACCGTTTGCCTTTATTTAATTCCAATGTAAATAAAGTTCCTATAAATATTCGTTTTAAAGAATGCTGGCTAATTTTTCCCCGGATTTATCAGTTAGGTAATTTTTTGATAAATTCATCTTTTTCAAAGATTTATTTGTCTATAATGCATCTAAAATTAAACCTACCGAAATATCTCCAAGTTTATTATTTTCTAAATTTAAAACTTCGATTCTCGATTTGAATTCTTTTTCACTCAAAGACGCAGCTATATGTTCGCATCCAATCCTACCAATACTGTTTTATTATAATTATAATATTTTTGCCTTTCTCGATATTGTTTTCAATAAATCACCTGAACCTTTGTTTGTTATACGATTGCCTTATAAATAAAAGTTCTATACTGAAGATAATCTTTTTAAGCCTTCGCTTAATACTTTGGCATATAAATCTCCATACATCATTGAACTATAATTTTAATTTTTGTATGTGATAAATATTTATTTATTTTAATTAAATGTATTAATATTTTTTTTTTTTATAATACAAAAATTTATATGGTTATTTACTTTATTCTTAAATCTTCTTCATTTCCTTTTTATTTTATTAATCCTATTTTACATGGTAATATACTAAGTTTTTATGCTTAATCTAATATACTAGTAAATGCCGATTCTAAAAATATATTAAAATTAAATTTCTAAATAAAGATATATTTATAAATAAAAGGTTTTTGTATATATTTATTATTTTTTTATAATTAATTTTACCTTGTACTTAAAAAAACTTATTTTATTATGTAATTTTATCAAGTTTTTAATAATGCCTATAAAAATTATCTTAAGCATTTTCTTCTGTAACCGATTTATGTTTATTATCTTCAACAATAATTTCAAATGAGAGTTCCATGTTTTATAAGATTTCTTTTTCTTTTTTTAAATCCCCTATTTTTTCCTTTTCGCTAATTTTTTCACGATTATCTATTTTTTGAAAAGCTTGTGAAAGTCCTTTTCGGTTCGGAGGTAAATAATGGTTGAGACTATTTATCATATTCTTAGCTTTATTCTATGTATATTTTAACTCTTTTCGAATTTCTAAAAGCCTAAATTTGTTATTCCATTAAATTTATGGATTGATTTAAGATTAAGATTGTACGTTTACTTTTGGGAATTCAATAATTGATGAAAGCTTTGAATTATTCATAAAGTACTTGAAAAATAGTTAATAAAATAAATTAATAAATTATTCGAAAATAGTTTTATTTTTATTAATTTTTTATTATATAATTTACTTATTTAAAAAAAAATTAAAAATACTTTATATAATATTTATTTAATTTTTTATATAAATATTTTGATAAAAATACTCATTTTTTTTCTTTTTTCTTTTTTTAACTTAAATAGTATTTTTTTCTATTTCTTTATTATTTTTTCTATATCCAATCATATTTATTTTTTAAATAACCTTACCCATCATAATCAAACAAAAGTTCGTTTCCAGGAGGAATAGCATTTTTTGCATAAATACCTATATGGTAACTTCCTTTTACATACATCATTCTAGAAACACAATTTTCTTAAGTTTTTGAATGATTAATGAATCTACTCTAAAAAAAAATAAAAAATTATATTTAAAAATTAAAAAAACTTTATTTCCAAAATATTTTGAATCAGCTGTTCTTTAACCTAATTAAAATGTATAAAAAAGTTCACTTGGTTTCCAAGAATTTCTGATAATAATATCTGTTTCTTTTAATAATTCTCCTAAGTAAGTAATTATTAATTCATTTTTTTTAATATGATATAAATTATATAATCCAAGTCCATTACAAACACCAGAATTTCCTATTAAAGTTCGCTATAAATATAATATATTTATTAATAAAAAATATTTATTAAATTAGAAAATTACTTGCTATAAATTTAAAGTTATTTAATTATTTTAACAAAGTTTTCCTTTTTTAAAGCAATTAATACATGTCTAAAAATAATTTTATATTAAAATAAATATAAAAATAAAGATTTTTTACATTAGGATCACATTCTCGATCATAAGAATAACATTCACATTAAGAACTCATACAATCTCCTGAACAATTGCATTTTTTTCTGAATATTTTACATTTATTAGGATCACATAAGCAATAAATATCACAAAATCCTCTTTATTTACAACTATTTATTATAATAAATATGAATAAAATAAATATATGTATATAATAAATATATATATATATATATATATATATATATATAATACTAGCAATTATTGCAGTTTTCGTCAACAGGATTTTATAAATATTAATAATGTATGCATTAATGATAATCATAAAATTAATCTATCATATTATTTTAACTTGATTAATCATCTAGGTTTATTTAGTCTTTCGAGTTTTCTGAATATTCGTTACTAAAATCAGTAACCTATTAGTTGATTTCTATTATTTCTAAATCAGATGACGAACTATCAAGAGAAACTATATTTTTATTTTATTATTCTAATGAAGAAGATGAGTTTTAAATAACAATTATATTTGGTAAGATTGGCTATTTTATAAAATTATCATTATTATTATTAATTTATATATTATTTTAACTTTAGCTTAAATTTATACTATTTTAATTACAATAATATGAATTTTAATTTTAATTTTAATTTATATTTTAAAATTATTATTATTATTATTTTTATTATTATTATTATTATATTTATTATAATTTCTAACATTAATTTTATTTTTATTTTTAATTTTGTTTTTAATTTTATGTCTATTTTTATTATTATTCAATATTTTAAACAGGTTCAATAATTATTTATTCTACAACTAATACAAATATATCAAAACATTTTAAATCCTCCTATAAAACATATACTGCATCACAAATACTTTTAAATCTATATAAAGCTACTATCAACATTTATTTTTATACAAAACTTAATTTTTTTTATTATTATTTAATCTTTATTATTTAATATAAAAATAAATATAATTATTAAAAATATATTACTTTTTCAAGTTTACTAATATTTAAATTCAAATAGCAGTGTTTTCCGCACATTTTTTTTTCCTTAACAATAAATCCTTAACTTAATATTTACTAATAATCTTAATATAAATTTACTTAATATTAAAAATATTAATTTTCATTAACGTTATCACTTGTACAAGGATGATAGAAATGAGTATTCTATTTTACATTAAATTTAATATTTTTTTTAGTTTACATCTTTTTTTTAATGAATTCTACAATCGTATAAATAGCATAAACTACAAAAATAGGTTTTAAAATTTTATGTTAAATCTAATATAGAAACAAATTCTTCTTCTTTTTTATCAATAGAAATTGCATGTCTATTTATTTTTATTTTTAAAAATTTAAATTAATATATACTTGAATGAGAACTTTCTTATATTATGGATTTCTTAATAACTTTTTATAATAAAAATAGAAATTATATTTAATGATATTAAATTATAATATTTATTACATTATTTATAAATTCTATTTTTTTACTTTGTCATTTTAGAAAAACTGTTAAAGCATATATATTATATCTTAATTTATACCATTTACCTTCAATAAATACCAAACCAATATTTTTTATTCTTTTAAATATATTTTCAATAAAAAATAAAATTATATAATTTAAAAATTATTTGAATATATAAATACCTAAATCTGCTTTTAAATTCATTTATTTAACAATTGAAAGAAATTATTTTAAAATTTTTTTATCATTTATTTCGTTTGATGTTTATAAATCTTCACAAATAAGTTCAAAGTCTATTTTTTATAATACAGGGAAAATCTAAAGGAGAAAATCTTCTAACTATTTATTTTTGTATAATATAATATATGGTAAATAATCATAAAAATTATAATATGTACTTTACAATTATATTTTAACTTATAGGAATATAATTTGTGTATTAATTAAATTAACAAACTATTTCGAATTCCTAAGAAAGTTTTTAAGTTTTGCTTGCTTATCTTTTTTTTTCAGAATAAATTGGTTTATTAAATTTTATTCATTTTATTAGTATTAAGTTTATTTTTTTTATTTGTATTTTAAAGATTAACAAATAGTACATATTTTTATTATCTAATATATTTTTTTATTAAAATTAAGAAAAAAATTGTTTTAATTTAATAGTAATACATTTTTGGTGAAATCATTAAAGAATTTATTTATTAAATTTTGAATGTAGTTTAAATTAACCAAATATTAATCTTTGATCTGTTATTTGTTTTACTTTTCTATTTCCTAACAATCTAAATTATTTTATTCATTCATTTTTTTTCGTATATTATTTAATCCAATATAATTATTTTAAATATTAAAACAAAATTTAAATACAAATTTTTTATAAATAAATAAAAAAGTAAAAAAAGTATCAAGTATTTATATATTATAAAATAAAATAGATTTTTTTATAAATATTTTAAAAAAAAATTAATATATAAATAAAATAATTTAAATAAATTTTCAAACTAAGCATTATTTTCTGCTCATTAAATTAAATTTATTTTATTTTTAATTAAAATTATATGTAATAATTTAATTTTTATTAAAATTCAAATATTTTTACATATATTAATACAAATTTATAAAATAATAGGATTAAACTTACATTTATTTATTTTTAATTTCACTAATAGGGTTTTTTAAAATAATTAAAGAAAATATAGTTAAATTATTATATTTATTTTATAAATATTTTATAAGTTTTTTATTATATTAATTATTTATATTTATTTTCAATACATTAGATTTTTAATTATTTTTTTACAATAAGTTTTTTTTATATTGATATTATCTTATAATATAAAATAATATAAAGTTTTTAATTTATTTTAAGTAAACTCAAATATTTATGATATTTTCAATTTTAAAACTTGGTTAGTATCCTTATTGCCATTAAGAAACTTTTTAGTCTAATCCATTAGACTATCCAGGTTAAATTTCTTTAATTTAAGTTTATGGATTTCTACGATCACCAGGTCCATAAGAACCAATACCGAAAGAATGAGTTGCGTTTTTTTACCATTTTACATGTAAAAACACGCAATAAGTACCTGCTTCAAAATCAAAAGGGTTATCAATATATTAGGGTGAATATAAGTCACGTTTTTTTCCTTAAAAAGCTTAAACAACATTTCCTTTCGAATCACATACACAAAATTTAGTTTCTGAATAATATGTATTTGAAGGAACATCATCAGGATCAAAACATCTATATGAGTATTAACTTACATTGAAATATTATTTTCCTCTTTATGCAAATTTAAATTCAAAGAATTTCGATTAACTATAACAAGTTTTAACCCTAATTAATTTTATTAATTGCTTAAAAAATATATTTTTCAAATAAAATTACTTGATTCCTGTATAATCATAATTATCATCATAATAACAAATTTAAACAGCATCAAAATGTTCTATTAAGGACTAATAATCAATAAAAAATGTACCATCATCTTCTTTAGTAAATTAAATTCTATTTTTATCAGATTAAGATACTCTATTCCAAATAGGATCATTATCATTCCATTTTCCATTCCATTCTATTTTTAAAAAAATATAAAATTAGATAATAAAAATATATGTAAAAAATTACCAAATTCTCCCCAAGGATTTCTAACTTATACTAATTTATGAGTTTACCCATCAACATTAATTTCAGAAGCTCCAATAAGAGAATAAGCATGTCCACTAACAAGCCCTAATTTTTATTTAGGATCTCCACTTCCACCTGTATCTTCTCCATAAGTACCACTTGTCATTATATATTATTTCTAATCAGCCTGCAAAATCTTTTACCATAATTCATTTTAATTCCTATCAGTAGGAAAAGATCTGGTTGGTGCTCCTGTAAAATCATGAAGAGCTTCTTTTGTTAATTATCCATCAATAAAATGATAACATTTATGTAATTTAGCCCATGATTTTTCCAAAATAATGACCCAAGCTTCTGCTCCTTTCGATTTTAAAAAATAAGGATTACCTTATCTGTCTACAGGAACATAATCATCTACAATTACTTCTTTTAATTCTCCTCTCCAAACTAACTTAACGGCATATACGCCTACATTATTTTCTTATTAAGAGACAAATATACGTTTGATTCTATTCGGGTATTCGGATATAGCGGCTATAGTAGATAGCAAATAGCAATCACCCAAAGCTCCTTATTATATATCGTTTGGCTCAATATTTCCCAAAAACAATTTATAGTTAGGTAAACATTCTTTAAGTCTTCTCCATTTATTATTTACTACATCTCTATATTCTCCTAAATAATCAGGAGGGGCTATAGAATTTCGATCTGGAGGAAAATCTCTGTCGTCATATTATTTTCCTTAATATTATCTTAATAACTCATCAAATTTAGATACTGTAATAGAAGAGCTTAACGTTGAGTTATATAATACTTTTGCCTTATAAAAGTAATTATTTTTTAATAAATATTTTTTATTTTTTTACCATATTAGCATTATCAGATAGTTTTTCTTAATCCATTTCTTAATTTTTTTTCATAATGTTAGTTACACTTTTTTAACTTAATTAAGCATTAGGGTTTGCTAAAGGTTATTTTTAAGGTTACAATGAGATTAATTATTCAGCAGGATAATAAGATTAAGAAGCTGGCTTATTTGTAAACATTCCTACTCCAGCACCTACTTTATTTTCATAAGACATTGATGAAGGTTATCCATAATTATTTGTTTTTAAATTAGATTAAATACCGCCACCCATTCCTCCATAACCTCCGCCTATTCCTCCTACACCTCCTACACCTCCTATACCTCCGATACCTCCAATACCTCCGATACCTCCGATACCTCCGATACCTCCGATACCTCCGATACCTCCAATGCCTCCAATGCCTCCCATACCTCCTATACCACCAATACCTCCCATACCTCCTATACCTCCCATACCTCCTATACCTCCCATGCCACCCAATCCACTAAGACCACCTCCTAAGTTAGAATTTTGATAAAAAGGTGTGTTAGAAGTCATTGGCATTAAAGGATTGTTCAAATTAGAAGATCCATAAGAACTGAAAGTATCTTTAAATCCGCAACTAGGATTTATATCATTAATTTTATTGATATTGAAGTTTCCTCTATAATCATTACCGTAGCCACCATATTAAGTACTTTGTTCATTTCCGAAATTAGAATACTATTTTTTTATTTTTGGTTTTTTTAATTAATTTCTTTTTTTATTATTTATATTTAGTTATTGTATTATAATTTGATTTTTAATGATGAGTAATAAAATAATATTTTTATTTTTTTTTCCTAACAAAGTTTCATATAAAATAATTTACAAAATTTAATTTATTCTGTTTAAGATATTGTTTTTATTAATAATCTTAAATAAAATAATTATTTTATATTTAATACAAAAATACGTTTTAATAAGCAAAATACTATTTATATTTATTTTTAAATTAAAATAAAATTATTAAATATTAATTATGTATTAAATGATTATTAAAAAACAAAAATCTAAATTTTATTAAATTTAAAATTAAAAAAAAAAAAAATTTTATTAATATTAAAAAAAATATTTAAAATTATTATAATAATAAAAATAAGAATATTAAATATATTAAATTATTTATTTTTTTTTTTAAAAAAAAAATATATATAAAAAAGTAGAAAATATATATGTTAATATAAAATAATAATAATAATAATAAATAATAATAATAATAATATTAATAATAATAATAATATATAAATATTTTTATTATTATTAAATGTAATATATATTTTTTTTTAAAATAATACATATTTAATTAATTTATTATATTTTTAAATCATTACTATTTCAAAAAATAAAAATATATAAATATAATAATTTACTAATTAATCATTAATAAAATAAAAATTACAAATATAAATATAAATTAAAATAAATATTTTTTTATAATATAATTTTATGTTACTGAACTTATAGTAATTTTCAATTTTAAAAATTTGATTTTAGTTATATAAATATTTAAACTATTTTTAATTGAAATTTTAAATATATATTAAATTAATAAAAACATTTATTGAAATTTTATTATATTTATTGTATAAATAGTTTTAAATATTGTTTTAATTTATATTTTTTTAGCATCCTTTTTAAATATAACTTATTCAGATAACATAAATATGTTTTTTATTTTTAGTTAATTTTGTTAATTTTATAATATATATTATAAATGTATATTGAATATTTATTATTGATTTGTTAAAATAAAATGTGAATTATATAAATTATTTAATATATAAAATTTCAATTTATTTTTATAATATATCTTTACTTATCAAAAATATATAATAGCTATTTAGCAAATTCTAATTATATCAAAATATTATTAAATTGATTTATTTTTATGATTTTTAACATTATGTATAGGGTTTAATTATTTCTAACCATTAAATTATATTAAAATTATTCAATTTAATTTAAAATATATTACCATTATAAAATCCATAGAAACCGACATACTGAAAAAATAAGTGCATATTTTTAACAATAACCATACACAAATATATAATATACACCTGCTTCGAAATCAAAAAGATTATTTACATAGTAATGTGTATAAATAAGTTGCTTTTTCTTCCTTTGAAAGGTTAAAAATTATCTTTAGAATCACATATACAAACTTTAATTTCTGAATAATATACATTTATAAGAAAACTTACCAGGATCAAAACATTTATATCAGAATTAATTTAAATTAAAACATTATTTTCTTTATTATTTAAATTTAAATTCAAAATATTTATATTATGAACATTAAAATACAAAATTTCTACTAAAAAAGCTAAACAAATTAAAAAGGCTCTATCATTTTCAATTATTATATTCAAGTTTATTTCTTTTTTATTAAGATAGTCTATACCAAATAGAATCATTATCATTCAAAAAATTAATATTCTCCTCAAGGATTTCGATGTTTCAACAAATTATGTGTTTATTCATAAAAAGTAGAGTAAGTTCATAATTTCCAATACGATACACTAACATGTTCATAATTATGAGTATCACATATTATTTTTAATTTGCCATCATAATCTTATCCCATAATTAATTATATTATTAATCTGTAGGAAAAGATCTTTTAAGTACTTTTAAAAAAAATCATATAGACTTTTATATTGCAAATTAAAAATAAATATATGCAATTTAGCACTAGTCTTTTACAAAAAAACAGCTTAAGTCTTATTCAGACCCTCTAAACTAGAATATTTAAAGTTATACTTATTTTTAGATAACAATTAAATAGTAACTACGTTTAATTATCTACTCCAAAAAATTAAACTGTATAAACATGAAATAATTTCTAATAATATAAAACATTTATAAGTTAGAATAAATTAGAATTTCTAATAATATGAAAAAATATAGGTTTAATTATATAAGAATATATAATTATAAATGCTAAATAAGTTAAAAAATATACATCTTCTAAACTTCCTTATAATATAATTAAGATTTATTTTAAAAAAAATAATTCATAGATAAGAAAAATATCATATAGAATTCTCAAAACCTTAATAATATATAAAGTATATAAAGCTATAATTTATATAAATTAAAAATTTATAATTATTTAATTAAATTAATTAATATTTTATAAAGGTTAATTTAATAATATTAAATATAAATATTTTAATAAAATAAAAATATATATTTTATTTAATTAAAATAAAATTTTATTTAATATTTTTATTTAAATTTATGAGTGAAAAAATATTTAATTTTAAATAAAAAAAAATAATATAAATATTTCAAAAATATAAAGACAATTTTATTAATAAGAAAATTAAATAATTTTTATAAATATTTATTTTATTGAATATTTATAAATATTAAAATTTATGATTTATTATATTAATTTTATGAATGTGCTTAAAAAATAAATAATATATAAATATATAAATATATATATATATATATATATATTATTTTTAAATTTAATTATTTTTAGATTTTCGTATTATATTTTAATTAATATATTATATATTATTATATATTTATTAAACAAATTTTTTTTTTATATATATAAATATTTTTTATTTTTTAATAATAATTTTTATATTTATTTATTTTTGTATATAATAATGTTAACATAAATATATTCTTTATTATATATTCATAAATTTTAATTTTATATCTAAAAAATTTTTCTATTTTTATTAAATTTCTAAATTAATGAATATTTTTTTTTTTTTTATAAAGATAATTTTTTATAATATTTAAACATAATGTTTTTTTAAGTATATAAATATTTATTTTTTAACATATCCTTTTTTTATATCAATTATATTAAATTATTTTTGAAATTTTTATAATTTTATATATTTTTATACTATAATTTATTTAGTAAAAATTATAATTATTTTTCTTGGAATTTTATTTATTTATTTGACATTATTTATAATATTTTTAATGTATATTTAAATGATATTAGATTTTAATACAATATTAAATTAAAAAATGATATAATATTATTCTTAAATATATTTTTTTTATAAAATAGTAAAAAAAAATGAAACAATGACCTTTTAATTATTAATATATCTAAAGATATATTTTTATTTGAATAAATTAATTATTTAAATATTATTGCTTTTTAATTTATAATTTATTTTCTCAAATAAATATTTTTGAAATTATTTTAAATCAAAATTTTTTATTTATATTTTTTTATAAATCAAATAAAAATATATTCGTAAATATTATGATTTTTTTGATTTATTTTATTATTTTGATAATACGAGTAATTTATAACTTAATTTTTTTCAATTTATTTTATATTTTTTTTTTTTTTTATTCTTATATGATTTGTATTATTTTTATATTTTCAATTATTTTTAATTTAAAAATATTATATTTATTTTAAAATAAAAATATAAATTTCATATAAATTATTAATATATATTAATTTATATAAATTAATTATAATTATTTTTATTTTTTATTTTTATTTTTTATTTTAAATTTAATTTTTTTGGAAATATTGCATTTAGCAATTAGTAATTAAAAATTTATTACTAAAAAAAATTAATAAATTATTTAAGCGTTTGTTTAAGTTTTTTTATATTATTTTTAAATTTTATATTTGAGAAACAAAAACATTTTTAAAAAAAATATACAAACTATATATATATTATTTAATAAGTTTTTTTATAAATTTATATATTTATATATATAATATATTATTTATATTATTAATATATTATTTATAATATTTTTTCTTTATTTATTAAATAATATATATTTTACGAACTTTATTATTTCTAATTTAATTTTAATATTTTTTTAAATAATTTAAAATGGGATATATTTGTTCAAAATTATGTAATTAAGACGAGAAATAAAAAAAAAAGCCTATAGTGATACTAATGAGACTTTAAATTTAATAAAAAGTTAATAAAAATCTTTTTAACAATAAAGTTAAATTAGTTAAAAAGAAATAAGTCAAAATAATAATAGCGATAAACAAATTACTCCTGTAATAGTAAATTTCTAGGAAAAACCTTAAGTAAACTATAAAGATTTTTAAAAGTTAGATAATTTAGGTGAAGGAGCATATGGTGATGTGATTTTGGTAAAAAAAATAAGCAATGGAAAGAGATTTGCTATGAAAATAATAAAAAAGTCAAAAATAATGGAATAGAGTTTAAACAGAAAAATGCTAGTAGAAAAAACAGTTTTATTAGAAAATAAGCATCCTTTTTTAGTTCGTTTGAAATATTCTTTTTAAACTGAAAAAAAACTTTATCTTGTAATGGAATATTGCCCAGGAGGTGAATTATATTCATATATAGTTCGTTATAAAAAATTTACTTTAGAAATCTCCAGATTTATAGCTGCGGAAATAGTACTAGGTATAAAAAATAATATAAATAAAATGTATTTATATATAAATAAAATAGGTCTTTATTATTTACATGAGAAAATGAAAATAATATATAGAGATTTAAAACCAGAAAATATTTTAGTTTCAGAAGATGGACATGTAAAAATTGCTGATTTTGGTTTAGGGAAACAATTGAAAACTCCAAATTAATTAACTTATACTTTTCTTGGTACTCCAGAATATATAGCACCGGAAATAATCAAATGTAAATAATCTAATTATAAAGATGGATATACCAAAAAATGTGATACGTGGGCTTTTGGTATTTTCCTTTATGAATTAATTATTGGTTAACCTCCTTTTACACATCCTCAGAGAAACTGGAATATTATAATGAAGTTAATAATTGCAAATAATCCTTAATTTTCTGAAGATATCAACTCTGATGCAAAAGATTTAATTTTAAAATGTTTGAAAAATGAACCTTAAGAAAGGCCTAATTGGAATGAAATTAAAAGTCATTAATTTTTTTAAGATATTGATTGGGAAAGACTATATAATAAATAATATGAGAGTCCACTTAAATAATATGTTAATAAATCAAAAAATAAATAATAAAGGCCAAAACCTATTTTGGAGACTCCTGCAAATGATATTCTTGATTTACCAAATATTAATGGATTTACATATGACCCATAAACATTACCTGGTAAAATTTCAATGTTCTAATGAAAATTAACTAAAAATTTTTGTATATATATTAATTTTTTATTGTAAGAAAATATAAATACGATAATAATATAAAATATAAAAAAATTAAATATTACTTTTATTTTAATTTATGATTATAAATATAAAGAATGTAGTTAATTTAAACTGAAAAAAAAATACTTTATGTAAAAAAAAAACTAAAAAAAGAAAAAAAAAATCTAATAAATAAATAATAAGTTAGTTTACTTCTCATAATCAGGAATAGAATCAATAGAGTTCTTGCTCAATTTTATGAATTTTTTTGTCTATAAGAGATACATTTTTTTCCATTTTAGCTATAATAAATTGTTTCTTATTTTATTAATTAAATCAATTTTTTTCGATAAATTTTGTTGTTATTTTTTTTATTTTTGATATTTTTTTTTTTAATTAAATTAAAAACAATAATGACACACATATAATTATAAATTTTTAATATATTTAATGAAAAATAAACTCATAAAAACTATATTTTTAAATTTTAATTAATTTAAATACTAAAAATATTGTTTGTCTAAAAACATAAAAAACTAAAATAAAATACTTTTAAATTAATTTAAATAATAAATAAAAAAAAAACGAAAAAAAACAATTAATTTGTAATTGAATTTTAAAAATTGCTTTAAAAATAATTATAATGTAATAATAAAAGTAAATAAATATAAAGAAATAAAGCAATAAATGAATTTAAATTAACAAAAATAACGTATTTTTGATTAAAGGTTACAATAAATAATATATAATTATAAATATTTAAAATCAAAATCCATAGAAATAAAATTTATCTTATTTTTATTATGAATCAAAAAAAATAAAAAAATATTAAAAAAAAGTAATTAAAATAATTATAAAGGAAACATGAATAAAAATAAAATTAACGGCTTAAATATTAGTAAATAATTTAACTAGAGTTTTAAATATTATAAGACAATTATACTTAAACAATCAATCATAATAATACAAACGAATTCGAACAAACATTTTATATTCATTTAAAATTAAAGGAATGTCCTGTTGATTAAGAAATAAAAAAATAAATGAAGGATAACACAAAAATATTTTATTAAAAAATAAGTAAACATTAAATAAAATAAATACTTATAAATAATAATTATTTTTATCTTAAAAGAATAATAATGCTTTAATATATTAAAAAAATTGAGCATAATTCTTAAAGAAAATATCTTGATAATAATATATTATAAAATAAAGTAAAAAAACTATTTTTTTAAAAACACAAATTCTAAATTTATAATTATTATTATTATTGTTATTATTATTATTATTATTATTATTATTATTATTATTATTATTATTATTATTTATTATTTTATTATTTTTTATTAATATTTTAATTATTATATTTTTAAATCAAAATATAGAATATTATTTTGAAAAAATTAATATAATATATTTAAATAAAATATTTTTATATTATAAAAAAAAGAAATTAAGTATTAAATATATCTAAATATTGTTATACGAATTTATAATGAACATTGAATAACTTAATTATATATATATTAATTCTATAAAAGGAAGAAATATATTAATGAACAGTTTAGATCTGAAGTAGAAAAGAAAAAAATAATAAGTTGATTAATATAAAAAAGAAATTAAATAAAAAGATAATGAATTAATCAATTTTTACCTTAACTATAATAGAATTATTAAAATAAATTAAAAACAGATATCGAAAAAGCTATCAATTCAACTGATGAAATTAAAGGTTTAATAGTGAAGAAATAAAAACATTATAAAGGTCTTGAAATTGTTTTAGGAAAGATAAAGAGATATTTTAAGATCTTAATTAATAAAAAGAAATTAGAATTAAATATATTAGAGGAAAAAATAAAACTTTAATAGAGTAATCTTTCTAAATGAGAAATTTATTATAAAGAAAAATAAAATAAACTTTCTAATTTAAAGAATATATTTTCTTCACAAATAAATGAACTAAAAGCAACAGAGGAATAAATTTTGTGTATTCCAGATTTTAAGAATGAAGCAAATTCTATCTAGAAAGATATATGATCAGAAATAATAAAATAAAAGCTGTGTAAGACGAATCAGATAATCATTTAAAAAAAAAAATATTTAATAAGTTTATATAGGTTATGATTCTTTATTTTTTTTATAAAAAGCTTTTAATTTTTATATTTATATTTTTATTAAGTTTAAGTTCAAGAATTTTTACTAATTTTTTTTATTAATACTTTTTATGTTTTTAAGTTAAATATAAAAAAAAAAATAATAAAGTTTTAAATTTAAAAGTAAAAAGAAATTATTATTATTTTTAAAAATATCAATATTATTAATATTTAATATTTTAGTTATTTATAAAAAATAAACTTTTTTGATATATATTAATATTTCAAATATATCTTTTTCAGAATTCTAAATCATCTCCATTTTATTATTTCAGTTATTTTGGTAAAAACATATTTATGCATTTTAAATTTAAAAAAAATCCATAAATAATAACAATTACAGATAATAAATGTCCAATTGTAGCCATAAAACTAAAAGGCTCAAATAAATTGACCTTATCCCCATAAGAAAAAACAATCATACACGCTACTCCTACACTTCCTCCTAAAGTTTATAATAATAAAATAAAAGGAGTAAATAATCCTAAATGAACTTCTTTTACAATGGTGTCTCCTAAAATTAGTGCTAGTAAAAATATTCCTAATTAAAATATAAAATTGTTATCACTAATAATAGCAAGGCAAACACATATTAAAAAAAAAAAAATGTTATAATTGATGAAAAAATTCCAGGATTTCTAAATATTTTTTATAAAAAAATAAATTAATAAAATTTATATGAAATAGTAATAACTATAAAATTTACTGTTGTTATTTTTAACCAAAGTATTAAGAAAAAAAATATATAAATTTTTCAAATGCTTGTTTTAATTTTTCTTTTTTTGTTTGTGTATATTACTAATTTGAAACTTATTGTTAAAATTATAACTATTATAACTATTACTATTACTATTACTATTATTATTATTATTATTATTATTATTATTATTATTATTATTATTCATTATTTTATGGAATAATAATCTCTTTATTTTATTTATCTGATTCATTTTTTTATTAAATAAATTCATCATTTTATTCTTTTATAAATGGAATATCATCTTCATTTGCTATATTTTCTTCTTATTATAAATTTTTTATAGGTCTTTTTGACAAATCATATCCTTTATGCACATACTATTAATAAAAAAGAAAAATTAAATTTAAAATAACATATAATTAATTACACAAATTTCTTATAATAATTAATCTTTTAAATTAATTTCAATTTTTTTATTATTTTTTCTTATTATTGTATTAAATAAATGATTTAAATTCATTGTATGCATTAAACTCGCTTATTTTGAATATTTTTAATTATAACTATTAATGTTGTATCCAATAACTGTAATTCCTATATTTTAATCATAAGTAACCTTATTAAATTACGTGAAACTACAATTTCCTCCTTTTTCAACCACTAAATCCACTATTACAGCTCCTCTTTTTAAATTACTACACATTTCTTCATTTAATATATTTCCTTCTTCTTCTTTTTTTTCTTTAAATTATATAAAAAAAAAACTAAAATTAACTAATATATATATATTAAAATTATAAAATATATATTGAATAATAAATATATATATATATATATATATATATATATATATATATATATATATAAATATATTCACATTTTTAATATATATACCTTTTGTAATAATAATTAAATCAGTAATTTAAAGACATTTTTATAATGCATTTTTTTAGGCACTAATAGGATTTAAAAATTAATTTTCATATACAATATCAACTGGTAAAAATCCCATTTTCTTGATACTTTCTTTTAAGCCATCTCTTTGATCAAAAACACTGACATTTGCTCCAAATGTTTATTTAATAATTTTACCAACATTCAATCCTAAAGAATCAGCTCCAATAACCAAACACTAAGCCTATTGAGTTTACCCTATTTTATTATTAATTCCTCTACTAGACTTATTTAAATGATAAAATCCTTCTAAAACACCTCTATGAGCCAATATTAAGCTATTATTTTGTTTAACACTTAACTTTTAGTAAAGAAAGTCATCTTCAGGGATTTCATTAATGTCTAAAACTGTTAAATTTTCATATTTTACTAATGTATTAATTAGATTTAATTTATCATGACCCAAAGGAGCTATTAAGATTTCAAGATTTTATTAAAGTTTTTATATTTAATTTTCTTTTAGTTAACTAATAAGTACAATTATATGAGCATTTTAGTAAATATCATCAGAATTAGTTATTTTAGCTCCAAATTAACAATACATTTCATCTGTATATCCACATTATTTTCCAGCGTTTTTTTCTATCCATACATTTATTCCATTTCTTTTAAATATAAAAATAAAATTACAAAAAAAATGAAATTTGAATTAAAATACTTAATAAAACATTATATTAATTCCGGAGTAATAGAAACTCTATTTTCGATATTATTTTCAAATTCATTTAAAACTCCCAAAACTAAATATATATAAAAATATATAAATATAAAAAAATATAAATAAATATATATTATAAATAAATATATTAATAATATATATATAAATTTATATATATTTATATATTATTTATATATATATTATTTTATTATTTTACCCTTTTAGCATTTATTTTTTAAACTAAATAATTCTTCTTCATTAATTTAACAATAAACCTAATTTTTATTAATAATTTCATTTTCCAAGCATATTTCTCTAATAATTTAAACCCCTTTTAATTGTAATTAATTATAAACAGCTTCTAAGTTTTTTTAATTATCTCCTTTTAATACAAAAACATTATTATAATCAAATACTCCATTATTTTTATTATTTTCAACTTTAGTTTAAATATACACAACTCTATTACTTTCCCAAACTTAACAAGTTGGAATTTTTTAAAAATTATAAAAATCTGGATTTATCTCATCATATGCCCCTACTATTATACAAAGTTCAAATTTTGAAAAATCTACTTCTTCTAGTTCTTTAATTATTTCAAAAGCTACATCATATTCAGCTAATATAGCATTCATATGTCCTGGGAGTTTTCCACTAGACGGATGAATGCAAAATTGTATATTTTTTCCTGCTTCTTGTAAATATAGTGCTATATCAGCTATATATTTAGTACATTATTGTTAATAAATGCCGTTTCCAGGTACAAAAACAATATTACTAGCACTCATTAATTCATTAGATAAATCCATAAAATTTATATCCTAATTATTATAAGCGAAATCAGAACTTATATTTGACTTTATTTCTATATTTTAGTCATTCCAGCTTTTAAAATAGGCATCGAAAATCCCACAATTTATCCCATGTGAAGCTCTTTAAGTTAATTTATAGCCTCCTGTAATACACAAAGCTCCTACGATAATCAAATAATCCCTATTAAATACAAAACCTACAAAGGATAATGTAATTCCCATCAAAACAGTCTAAAAGGGAATAATTACATTCAACTATCTTTACTAAACAGAAACTACTAAACCCCATCCAATGTACAAAGCCAAAATAAAAATCATCCATAGTGCAAATCCCATACTAAAAACTACATAAAGCAACCCAAAAACACCTATACATATCAAAACTATAAAATTTACTGAATTTCGGTATTTCCCGATTAAATTTAATGGTTCTTTAGCAATATTTTTCTTATCTAATTTAAAATAACAGGTTACGGCAGATGAAAATATCATTGTGCCTAGTAAACATACAAATACTGTTTAGAAAGAATCTAGTTTATTGAATTTTGCTTTGAATTGTTTAAGTCTCTCAAATTAGGCGATTCCCAATAAAAATGAAGCTAAACCTATTAAAGATTGTAAAAAACATACTGCTTATCCATATTATGTTATTTTAGTCTTTTTTTTATATATGTATTAATATTTTATATGTTTTTTTTTTAAAAAAAATATATTTTATAATTTAATTAATTTTGTATTTTTTTTTTTTCATATTAAAGTTTATATATATTTAGTTTTTTTAATTTACATTTAAACCAAAATATAATCCTATAGATCCTCCTATTAAAAAAGATGATAACCATCTAAATGAATCTGCTAAATTCCAAGATTCTTGATAAAAAGTTGCACTAATTGCCGTAATCATACCTCCTATAGCAAACAATACCGATTTTCTTGAATTTTGGAAGCTATTAAGGGATATTATAGACATTATAAATAGAAAACTTGCTGCGAAATAAGATGCATGCTAAAAATTAGTTATATCGTCATTTTTTACTTAATTTTCTTTTTTTTAAGGTTATTGTGGATTTTGTTTTCCTATAAGCATTTAAACAGTTTTATTTTGTGATATTTAATTATATTAATTATTTACAAATCGCTAAAACTATTTGTATTTTGAAGAAAATTCTTAGAATAAATAATATAAGTAGTCTGTTTATTTTTAAACTGAGGTATTAATGATATTCGTTGAAATTTTATTTTATTTTAAATTTTTATTAACTTCTAACATTTTTTATTTATTTTTTTATAAGTATAAAAATAAAAATTATAATATAATATTTTTTCTTTCCTTTTTTTTTAAAAAATAATAATATAAAAACGAATAAATACATTATATATATATTATTAATAATTAAAAAACGTAAATTTAAAAAAATGTTAATAAACATATTTTGTCAATGATAAAGAAATTGTTTTAAAAAACATTTTAAAGATTTAATAATAAATATGCTTTCAATATTATTTAATTATAAAATTCATTTTTTTTTTAATTATATAAAATACTTTAAATTATAGATAATAAAATATTCTAATTAATTTATTTATTATTTTTATTTATAATATATTATTTATATTTATTTATTTTTTTAAAAAAAAAGAAATCATATTTTTGTATTATTTAAATATTTTGAAAAAAAATTAAAATGAACAAAAAACAAGATATAAACAATGAAATATAAAATTTTAATGAAAAATTTAAATCAGATTTAGAATATTTAGTCCAATATGTCATAAATTCAAATATTTAAAAAATACATCAAAAACATAAAAACAACAAATATAAATAAAAACGATAAACACCATAAAAAAATAAAAATAAAATAAATTCTTTTATAGAAAGAAACTACAACATATAATTTGATGAATAACAAAAAATTATAAATGAATAAAAAATCATTCAAAAAAAATAAAATGAATTAGAAGAAAATATTAAAAAAAAAAATACTTAGATGGTCCTGTTTGGAGAACTTCACTAGCCTTAATGAATTATTAATTTTACAAATAAAATCTAGATTTAAAAAAAGAAAAACCCGAAAAAAAACAGTCAAAACCTTCTTAAAAAATAGCCAAAACACAAATATAATACAGGATGTTAAATTAAAAATAACAAAAGGAAATTCCTAAAAAGTAAGAGGTTTCGGAATAATAGAAAAATATTTAAGTAAATCGAAATATAGGATTTCATAAATAGCTTTTGGATAAGGAAAATGAAAATATAAACAAATATTTTATAAATCTTTAAAAAAAAAAGTTAGAACTAGAAAAAATGGCTAATGGTTTATAAAAAAATATTTAAAAATAAGAATATGAGTAATAAATTAATTAAAATAAAGAGTTTTTTTAATCCATCCAAGATCATATAATTGAAAAATATTAAGAAATCCTGATTGAATCTATTATAGACGATTTATTAATTGAAAATGTCCTTCTATTGTAATATTTCGAACAAAAAGAAAAGCTTTCTAAAAAATAATTCACTAAATTATGCTTCGAATAATATGCAAACGAATTTACGTAGTATTTCGATGATAGTTAAAAGGCTATTTTACACATAAATAATAAAAAAGAACCTGTATATAAAAAAGTAATACATAACGATGCTATATTATTAGAAATAAATAATGATATTTTAATTGAAAATTTAGAAAAAATATAAGAATTTAGACTCCATAATGAATAAAAAAGTATATATGATAGAAATAATTTAAATTAATTTAATATTATAGCAAAAAATTTAGCTGAATAATTAATAAATGAAACTTTAATTGAATTTGAAAAATAAACTTAGAATTTTACAAATGAGTTATTTACAAGTGAATTTAGATGATTTTTTTTTTCTTTCGAATAATATTTACATTTATATATATATATTTATTAAAAGAAAAAAATTTTTGTATGTCTATATATGTAATTTTTTTATTAGTTAAAACCAATTTATTATACATATATTTTTTCAATTTGCCTTTTTCGGTCTAACTGATGATTGCCAATTTAATTAATTTCTTTTCCAAAAAGGATATCCAGGTACGAAAAGCTGTTTTGTTTTTTTGTTAAAATAAAATATTATTTATATTTTTATACTATGACACAGAAAAACATTGCAAATAATGTTGAGTAAACACATGTAGAAAATCTTTATTAAAAGCATGAAACTATGAATGAAATAACCTTTTCATATAATAATTTATGTATAAGATTGAACTTTTTATTTATTATATTTACCGTAACAATAGTTATAATGATTTTATAATAAACTTTTATTTTTTATTAAGCCACAAAATCCTTTTTTATTATTAAAATTAGAAAAAGCATATTTAAAATATATATATAAAGGTACCATTTCATTAAAATAAATAAGTATTCTTTTCAAAATATCATCATTATTTGCCATTTTTTTTTATATTATTATTAAAAAAAAGAAAAGAAAAATAAAATTAATTTTTTTTTTTTTAAAAAAAAATAAAAAAATAATTTGTATCTTAATAAATTATTTGTAAATATTATATATAATACTTATAATTAAATTTATTTATTTAAACTCTTTATTAAATCATATTCTCTATATATATATTTCTTTCATTATTTAATAATAGAAAAAAAATATAATAATTATAAACATATATTTTATTATTAATTAATTCTTTATATAAAATAATTATTAAAATTAATGTTTTCACTAATCTAAAATATTCTAAATCTCATTAACTATCTAATCTAAAAAATCATCTTATTTATTTAAGAGTTAATTATTTTTAATTTTTATATATACTTTATTATTCTTATCATTTATAATTATAATATTTTAGTTTTATATATTATTCAATTATTAATTATTAATTATACAAGAAACATCTGAATTTAAAAACTATTATTCTAATTTATTAAATTTAGCAGTTTATTTTTATAAATTTTCCTATTAATTTAATTTATTAAAACTATTTTCTTATAACTTTTAATCTATAATAGTACCTTAGTATTTTTAAAGCCATTAATTATATATTTATGAGTATTTTTAAAATAAAGCTTTTTTATGTTAATCAATAGAATTAGTACAGTTTAGACAACTTTCATTTAAATTAGTATCGTTTAATTATTATTAAAAATTAGAATTAATACTATTATTAATTGAATTTTAATATTTTTCATTATTCATTTTTTACAAAATATAGATTTTTGAAAAATTTATAAAATCTATATGAAATCAATTTCAAAAAATTAGTAAAAATAAATAAATTATTATTACTAAAAATTTAATATTATTATTTCTTATTATAGAATTATTCATAATTTATAAAAATTTTAAGCCAATATATGTAAAATAACATATTTAATAAATATTAATCAAATAATTTTATTTTATAATAAAAAAATATGTCTATTTACACTTACAAAAAAATTAATTTTTATCAAATATTATTCTCAAACTACTTTATAAAAACAAGATTTTTTTACTAAATTTAAGAAAGTTTTTTACGATAAAATAAAATTAAAATAAGTAAATATATATAATAAAATTAATAGAATTGCAATTTATAAAAAAATATTGTTATTCGAATTAAAAATAACGAAAGTTATTATATTTAAAAAGTGTATAGTATAAATTAAAAAAATAAAAAAATATTTAAACAAATTATTAATAAAAAAAACTACTTTATAAAATTCTTTTTAATGTCGACCTAATTATAATTATTTATATAAAATAAATATACATATTTAAAATTAAACATTAATTTTTAAAAAGAAAACGTAAAAGAAAGTTATAATAATAAAACTGTGAATATGACCAAAAAAATAATTATATAATATTTAGTTATTATTATTATGAAATTAACTAAAAATAAAATTATATTATTTCTTAATAAGATTTTATGATAAATTAAAATAAAAATAGATATTATTTTTTTCTAAATAAATGTAATAATTATTATAAAATTTAAAAAGAATAAGGAAAACAATAAAATTTATTTTTAATTTAGAAAAAAACTTTTTATAAAATATAGGTTTAATTATAATCTTAAATCAAATTTCATTAAGTATATATTTATTGTTTCTATTAAATTGATATTTTTTTTTTATTACATAAATAAAAAAATATTATACTATAAAAAATAAAATTAATAATTAAAAAAAATGGTTGATTCGTAATAAAAAAGGACATTATAAGAAATATAAGATTTGTCAAATTCTTTAAATTGTTATAATAGTAGAAGAGGATTATTTTAAGAAAAATTAAATTTTAGCAAAGTAAAATCATTACCAAATATAAAGCAATCAATAAAATTTTAAAATCTAAACATTAAAAAAAGTTAACCTATACAATTATTAAAAGAAAAGTATATTTGAAAAAATAAATATATATAAATATATATAAATAAATATATAATTATGTATATATATATATTTTTATAAATAAAAAAATATTTTATTCTTATTGTCAAAAAAAGAATACGTGAAAAATAAATTTACAATAATAATTTAAATAGCAATTATTATTATTTATAAGATAAAAATAAAAAATGGTCATTTTAATAAAATTAGTGGATTAATAGTATGAGTTAATGTCTTAAATCAGATTTTTTAGATTATAATTATATGTTTTAAAAACATTTTAAAAAATAATATGATAAGCAATTAGAAAAATTATATTCAAACAAAAAAATAATTAAAATAATAATATAAGAAATAAATTCAATACTGATAATGATAATGATAATGATAATCATAGTCATAATCATAATCATAATCATATGAATAATACTTTTATTTTTTAATAAAATAAGGTTAAATCTTATAAATAAAAGAAATAATCTTAAAATGATTTATAAGTTATTTCACATAATAATTAAAATAATGTATAGAATTCAGATAAATAAAATTATAATGCTAAAATTTTATAAAATACTAATCAAAATAAAATGTATTCATAAAAAAATTTACCTTGTTTATAATATAATAAAAAGTATATAGGTATAAAAAAAAATAAAAAAAAAAAATTAATTTAAATAAGTAAATAAATCTGGTAATTATGTTTTTAGAAAATCACAAGTTTATTAATACGATATTTAAAAAAATAAAAAATGAAATAAATATATATAGAAATATATAATATGAATTGAATTAAAAAAACAAT